GCTCGGGGGAGAGGGTGGGGTCAAATATCACGCCAAGGTTGCGTGCCTGGGTGGAGGGGGAAACAGGGGTGCCATCGATGGTGAGTGTCAGGTTGGGGGTTTTGCTGAGGGTGGATTTGGAGCCGATGAGGAGGAGTTCAGTTTTATTGCTGTTGAGTTTGAGGAAGTTGTGTGCCATCCAGGATTTTATAGCAGTCAGACAGGATTTGATGTGGGTGAGGGGGGGGGGGTTGTGGGGGGATTTGGTGCTGAGGTAAATCTGTGTGTCGTCAGCGTAACAGTGAAAGTCCAGGTTGTAGTGGCGGAGAATCTGACCAAGGGGGAGGATGTAGATGATGAAGAGGAGGGGGCCGAGTACTGAACCTTGGGGAACACCTTGGGTGACTGAAGCTGTGGCAGAGGAGTGGTTGTTGAGGGAGATGAAGTGGGATCTGTCAGAGAGGTAGGACTGGAGCCACCTGAGTGCAGTACCTTCGATACCGATGTCCTGGAGTCGGGTGAGCAGGATGTTGTGGCTCACGGTGTCGAAGGCTGCACTCAGGTCGAGGAGGATGAGGATGTTAAGGGAATCGGTGTCAGCAGAGGTGAGGAGGACATTGAGGACTTTGATGAGTGCCGTTTCTGTGCTGTGGTGGGGACGAAAACCAGACTGAAGGGGTTCAAAAAGGTGATTTGTTTGGAGATGGCGGTGGAGTTGTTTGAGAGAAAGGGGAGGTTGGAGATGGGGCGGTAATTACTGAGGGAGGAGGGATCCAGACCGGGTTTCTTGAGGATGGGAGTGACAGCAGCAGTTTTGAAGGCAGAGGGAACGGTTCCTTGGGACAGGGAGGAGTTGAAAAGGTTGACAAGGTAAGGGCAGAGGACGGGGAGGCAGGACTTCAGTAGAGGGGTGGGTAAGGGGTCAAGCGAGCAGGTTGTAGGTTTGGAGGAGCTGATCAGTTTGAGTATTTCAGGGGGGGTAACCAGAGTGAACTGGGAGAGGTGGCCGTGGGGAGGAGGGCTCGGGAGGTCCAGGGAGATGGAGGGAGAAATTGTGGCGGTGGGTGTTGGGGGAGATGTTTGTGTGTGAGATGCAGTGGATAGGGAGAGATTAATGGCAGTGATTTTGTCAGAGAAAAACTGGAGGAATGAACTGCATAAGGTGGAAGTGGATGAAGAGAGGGTGTCAGCACGGGGTTTGAGGAGCTTGTTGACGGTGGAGAAGAGGGTTACGGGAGGGGTCGGTAAAGATGGTGGAGAAGTAAGCAGATTTTGCGGCAGTGAGGGCGCCTCTGTAGGTAGTGAGATGGAGTTTGTAGGATTCGTGGTGAACTGTGAGGGATGATTTCATGGTTAGGCGTTCAAGCTGGCGGCCGGTTTGCTTCAACTTTCGGAGTGCAGGGGTGAACCAGGGTGAGGAGGTTTTGAAAGTGACGTTTTTCCTTTTGAGGGGGGCCAGGCTGTTGAGGGAGGCGAGTAGGGTGGAATTAAGGTGGTTGAGTTGTTCATCGGGTGAGCTGAGGTTCGAGTCCAGGGGGAGAGTAGAGGATAGCAGGTCGGAGAGGTGCTGGGGATCGACAGAGCGTAAATTACGGAAGATGATGTTCCTGGGTGGGGGGGGGTGGCGGACGGGGGAGGCGATGGTGAACTGTATGAGTTTGTGGTCAGAGAGGGGAAAGGGGCAGGGGTGGAGGTCGAGTACTGGGAGGTTGGTGGAGCAGACAAGGTCAAGGATGTGTCCTTTATCATGGGTGGGGAAGGTGACATTGAAGGAGAAATTGTCCAGAAGGGAGGAGAATTCAGAAGCGAGTTTGCAGGTGGGGGAGTCCATGTGGATGTTGAGGTCGCCGAGGAGTAACATACGTGGGGAGAGGGATGAAGCAATGGTGAGGAGTTCAGTGAAATCAGAGAGGAAGGAGGGGTGTGGTTTGGGGGGGGCGGTAAATGAGGATAACTGTCAGTGAGGGAGGGGTTTTGAAGGCGAGGAATTCGAAGGATGATACTGAGGGGAGGGTGAGTTCTGTAGTCCGGATGTTCTGGTTGTAGATGACAGCCAGCCCACCACCACGGCGTGAGGGGCGGGGTTTAGTGATGTAATTAAAACCAGGGGGGGATGTTTGATTGAGGGAGAAGAAGTAATTGGGTTGTTGCCAGGTTTCAGTGAGCAGAAGGAAGTCGATGGATTTGTCCAGAATTATTTCGTGGAGGATGTGGGCTTTATTGTTGAGTGACCGGATATTGAGGAGGGCAAGATTAGTCAAGTGGCGGGTTGGAGGGGTGGTGGCAGGCTGGAGAGGTATGAGGTTGTCTAGGTTAGCAGCGCGGGTGTGGGCACGAGAGGGGAGGCGGTGGGGCAGAGGAGGGGGGCTTGATGGTGGGGAGAAATGGCTTGTTATATGTGTTGGGTGGCGGAGGGGAGTGGGATCCGCTCCGGGTATTTCATGCAGCTGGGAGTGTAGGTGAGCGAGGGAGAGTGTAAGAGGAGCAGTAGGAGTTGCATTCTGATGACGCGTCAGGTGTGCGACAGTGCGTTGGGTAGAGCAGATGGATGGTATGGATTGTCCGTGCTGAAAGTAAACAAAACTGCGGCGGGTGCTTCGGTGAATGTAGCGGGGTCGACGAAGGAGTCCAAGAAGTCTGATGACTGAGATGGAAGACGGGGTGGAGGAGATGTTGAGTGACAGAAGCTGTGAGATGGAGTATTTCAGCATGATGACAGGTGGAAAGGCTGGGAGCAGTGTGTTAGCAGCGATAGCGGCTAGCAGGCTAGGTGCACAGAGGTGGAGGATTGTTGTGGAGACGAGGAAGATCCACGACATGGCAGGAGGATGTGAGCAGCGGGACAGGACAGATGCACCCCAGAGATGAAGGCAGGAGGCAGAGAGAGTCCACGGTTGTTGCATGGGATGGAGACAGACAAATAGGCGATGTAGCAGATAGCAATGGCCACCCGGCACTTTGATGGCTGAGTGAGGGCAGCCGGCTACAGCCAGCAACGGAGGCAGAAGGTAAAGTAAGTTAAAACTGTTAAAAACAATGTGCAGTGCAGTGCAGGGCAGTAGTCCAATTCGAAAGTTTTTGCAAGAACGAATGGTAGCTGAGGGTGATAGAGGGTAACAGAGGCGGAGAAGCGGCGAACAGTCAACGCCAGCGTCCTCTCCTGCTGCCAGCGTCCTCTCCTGCTGCCAGCGTCCTCTCCTGCTGCCAGCGTCCTCTCCTGCTGCCAGCGTCCTCTCCTACAATGAGGAGTAAAGTGCGGGTGGTGTGGAGTATCTAAGGCCGGTGTTTATTAGCAGAGATCTGAAGAAAGCTTTTTATCCCCGTGGATGTTTCACGTAGAGAAAAGCGTCACTGCGAGCCAAACCTCATTACAAAGTTTTTTTTTTAATTAGCACCAAAAAGTGGAGATATGATTTCCAGATTGTAGCTAAGGAGCCGGAGTTATAGAAGTGTTTTTCAGCACTCTTACTTTTTACAATTCAAATATATTTACAATATATTGAAAGGAAACTTTCTTCATAGACAAACATAGAAACACATGATCATCTTATTACATAGCCAAATACTAAATCTGTTCACAGGTTCCTTTCCGATAACAAGTCCTTTACAAATGACAGAGCCCATACCGTGTTTCTGTTTGTCTTGTTTGCTTCCTGTCTATCTTCTTCTGTTGATTTCTCTGAAGTGCAATGCTTAGTTTGAATATTTACAACTTCTATTCCCAGCAGTAACGTTTTCTTTGTCAGTTTGATATGGCTCAAAAAAGTACAGCCATAAACGTCAATGGTTGCTCCTTTCGGAAGAATCTGATCAGAGGTGTGAATCAATACTGCAGCAACGTTTCTTACATTTCCACACACAAAGGAAATGTACTTTTATTCAAAGAACCAGTCATTTTCTCAAACATATGCTGTATGTTTTATACTGATGATTAAAGTGCTCAAACTGTCCATCATCTCAGTATGTCTGATAAAAAATAATTAGGACTAGATAAGGATCTGGAAACGACTGATTGACAAACTGCAGCAGCTGCTATGATACAAATGATAGCAGGGGATGAACGCATGTTCTAATCCTGCCAAATGGTGTCTTAATTAAGTGATTCTTTGTTTGTTTTTAGGAGTGAATTCCCAAATATTCATAGAACTTATTAAATCAAATCAAATCAAGTTTTATTTATATAGCACATTTTTAAAACGATTTTTGGTTGAGCCAAAGTGCTGTACATATAATAATTACCTTACAGTAAGGACACTTTACAGCAAATACAACAGCACAGTTGTAAAAAGCCAAACCTGCTCCATATGAAGTAAGGGAACTGGGATTTTTTTTTAAGGAGACCCTGTTATGCTTTTTGGGGTTTTCCCAATCATAGCAGACTGGGCTCTGGTTTCAGACAGAGGGTGAAAAAAGGTTCTGCAGCACAGGTGCACAGTATGAGTCCAATAAATAATAAATATGAACCTGAAGATGAGCGTAATATGTGGTCTTTAAATGTTGACCCTCAACATGTAAAGACATTTCTGTCGTAGCTACTATAATAACTGTTGTGTCTAACTCTTCCTATGGAGAACACTTGTAAAAAAACGCTTACTCATTTCAGTAAACAAATGATAAATATGTGACTTATACTACAGCTTGGGGCCCCAGGGCTTTTAAGTCAAACATTCCGATCCAAGAACATGTATTTTACAAAGATGGTTGGCATCTCTCATGAATTATGCAGTTTATTGGATCTGCAGACTGGTTATGTCTCTGTGTGCGTGATCGTGCAAAGCTCCGCAGGCACAGCAAGGTAGTAACCCTGCCAGAGTTTGTATTTTCTATTCCCACTGAGGCCACAGAGGCTAAAAATACAAGCACTCATGGCGGCGTATTTGATGAAAGCTTCGTGCAAATGGCATACAAATGACATACACGTTTACACACACACACACACACACACACACACACACACACACACACACACACACACACACAGACACACACAGACACACACACACACACACAGGCTGACTTACTGTAGCACTCTCCAGTGACGGCGTTGAGGAAGAGCCCCTCCTGGCAGCTTGTCCTGCAGTAGCCGCTCTGTAGGGAGGCCAGGGGGGGGCAGGAGGTGCAGTCCGCCTGAGAGGGCCCCGAGCACGTCTGGCAGGACGGGTGGCATGCTGGGAGGAGGAGGAGAGGGGAGGCAAAAAAATGCTAAGGCAAAAACAGAAATGTATCTTTTGAATTAACACACACACACAACATCTGTCCGTAAAGGGAGAGGCATTCTTCTTCTGTCACTCTCCCAGTGGTTTCTTCCGTTTTTTCCCCCATTAACTGTGGGGTTTCTGAGTCTTTCCTTGTACGATGTGAGGGTCTAAGGACAGAGGGTGTTAGTAACCCCGGGGCGGCGTTGTTTACACCAGGGAGAAGCTGATCGCTAAAGCTGGGAAGCATAGTGCTCAAAACAACAGCTTTTCCCACTGAAATCTGTAGAAGGACACCGAGGATGGAGAGGTAAATGGAAGAGAGGAAGGAGGAGAGCTGCGTCCAGATTTATTGAGATATTAGATACATGCCTAGTCTCCCTCCTCTTATCATGGGCTACGTAAGATCACTGGTTAATGAGAATGGATGAGCTATAGGTGTCAGACGGATTATCTGTAGTAGTTCAATGCTGCACCTTATGGTCTGACTTTCTACAGTCAGACTGTTCGTACCACACTTTCATCGGGAAGGTTTCCAAAGTTTCTTGCTGGAAAGTTAACCAACAGTTGCCGCTACACATCCATCGAGAATAGAGAACTCTTCATCTGGAGTTGTGTCTCTAGCCATAGGAAAAAGGGAAAGCACCATAGGGTTGCAGAGTTGAGGATAACTCTTTGTGGCTTTGTCGTTACGGGCAACCCCATTCACATTACTCATAGTAATTTGATTAATTGCCTTTATATAAAGGATCGATAAACAGAGCCTTAAGTGCATGCTGTGCACCCAAACTTCGCAGTAAAAGTTTACTCTCATTAAGACAGAAATGCAATGCTTCTTTAGGGTATCTGGGTGGCTTCTAATGAGCCAATCAGCAGCGAAGAGGACAAGGCCAACTAAGCAAACAGAGCCCATTTATTTGGATATCCCAGTGGGGAAACTTAATCTGAGCCCATCATTCTTTCCTGCTGTCTAGGTATTGGTCTGTGTCTGCCTTTTTAATTAGTCAGCCAAGTATGGAAGAAAAATAACTATTAACAGATTCAATGATGTTTACCACAGATTTGAGCTTTCCTCGAAATGAACAATAAACTTGGATATGCTGTTAGAGCTAGAAGGGGTCGTCCTTCAGAGGGGGTCAGAGACGATAAACCAAGCCGAAGTAATGAATTGGAGATTAGAGCAAATGGATTTTCATTAACAAGGTGGGTCATAGAGAGGGGGGGGGGGGGGGGGGGGGGGGGGGGGGTAAACGGGAAGAAGAGCCCTGCTCTGCTCTTTTTAGTGGTAAACATGCTGTAGTAGCTATTGTACTTTACAACCACACATATACAATATTTAGTTTGGTTTTATGGAGACGTTTTGATGTTGTAGCATTACATCTTGCTTTGATGCTTCATTTTCTGGTAGTTGTTAATGCAACAAAAAGTACTCAAATAAGACTAAACAGCACATTTGAAGGATAGTTCTTAATAAAGTACACCTCTACTGATCTCTCTTTAGCACCAAGCTGTGAAAAGCTTTCAACACTGATCTTACCTTGAAAATACATCAAACTCTGTGGTGAACAATAACAGCATTTTAGCAGCTGCCTCTGGGGCTCTGGACCAAATTAAGGTTGTGTAATGTTAATGATTTTCATTACACTCACTAAAATAGTCTGGACCTAGGAAGTGGGAATGAGCAGCCTCCGAACAGATCACGACTTCAAACAGCTTCTTAAAATAAATGTTGAATAAACAATTAATTTACACTTTCTCTCATTCTACATTAAAACAGTATTTATTTTTTGTTAATTTTCCTGCTTATTTGAAGAAAAAATTGCAATTTGTTACGGGTGATTACACTGGTGTCAAATGTTCACCATAAATCGCAACCTTTCCTAATCATCTTTTGGTAGCATTATATTCTCTAGAAATATGAGGAAGCTATTTATCCCATGTGACCCTTCCAGCAACGTGTCTAAGCGGTGCAACTGTTGGAAAGGGAAAGATGTTTGGGACAAACTGTATTCCTTATGTTGTGGAGAAGACTTTATATGGATGAGCAACATTTTACAGATTTGGACACCAACAGCTACAATCACACAAAATCAAAGAGAAAAGAGTTCTTAAGGTTTTTATAAAGATGGCTGAAAATAACGTTTGTGGTTCACACAAGCTTCAGAGATTCTTTCTGTGTGTTCCGCGACATAAAATACATCAGCAAATACCCCCATTTGTTAATGTGCAAAGCCTCTACAGTATGTGTCTTAAAAAAGTGTGCACGAGTGTGTGCTCTCACCTTGGTACTGGTTGTCCTGCATAAAGAAGCCTTGTGGGCTGGTGTGGACACAGCGGCCCTCATGCAGGCTGGATGGGGGGGGGACAGGATGTGCAGTTGTCTGCAGATGGCCCAGTACAGAGCCAGCAGGAGGGATGACACTCTAAAAAGGACACAGAGAAGAAAAGAACACATAATGCCGGGGCCAGGAACAGAGCATGCTCGATCCCTTGCTGTGCCTTCCTATTACTTTACTGTCACCATAAAAATAACTACATGGCAGAACGAGTGAACTGCCGTGTTCATCCTGGAAAGGAAAAACATATGCAATTTGTCATTTTGTATTATTAGGCGCTCAGTTAATGGTCATACTGTATGACCCAGTCCCAGGGGCTCTAATCTCAAGGGCCCACCGTCAAGGATACGCAGATAAACCAGGGAAATAACCAAAATGCCATTTCAATAATATAAAGAAATAATTAAAAAAACTACAAAGAGGCTCAAAATGGCCACAAATGCCCCTTTCACACCGGCGCTTTTCCAGCTCCTGCTCGGAGCTGGAGCTGGAAAAGCGCCGTTTTTTCCTGTTCACACCGCAGCGGCGGCGCGTCATAGCTCCGGAATGCGGTTCACTTCCAGCTCCAAAAAGTTGTCGGTCCAGAGGCAAGAGCTTCGGAGCTATGACGCAGCGTCGCTTACGTCTCTTACGTCGAGGCGTGCAGGAAACCTTACTTTGACCATCCGTTCGCTGTTATTGATCATTGTGGAGAGCAGGCAGACGTTTTGTTTGTTATTATAGCAGCTATCGGATGGAATTAATACATGGGCTGTACAGGTTGTCATGTCCGACTATCACAAGTAGAATCATAATGAAAAATACGCCGGTAAAATGTGCCTGTAGAAAACGGCGTAGCAAGTAGTCAGTTTAGCTTCGGTTGCTATGCTAACATCACCCATGTTATACCAGAGAAACTTTCATAACAGCGTTGTGATGCCAAACAGCGTCAATTCAGACTGACACACATTCACTTAAGGGGAACTGGGGATATGTATCAGCTGCTTGTGTGACAGTCAGACAGTGAATACTTTAGAGCCGTGTGAGCTAACCCGGAGCTAACGGGAGAATAAACTCGTGGAAGTGCAGCCAGCACTGCAGCGGTCGGTAAATGCCGCTGAAATACATTAATAAACAATGAACCACGGCACTCTGGAGAAAAGTATAAGGTTGGAGAAGTCGTTATTTAATTTAATCTGGCTTCGTATGATTAAAAGCAACACGATCATCGACCCGACGCAGTCCCCGGCCCGTTGTTGTTGTGGGAGAAAATCAGCGACGTAAACTGTGACGTCATGACGCAGCAGCGGCAGCTCTGGGCGGTGTGAACAGAGCGGGAGCTGAAAAGGGAAACCGGAGCTGAACCAGAAAAGCTCTCGCGAGGAGCTAGAAAGGGAAAAGCGCCGGTGTGAAAGCCGTAAAAGAGACTCACAATGTTTAGGGTTAGGGTTAGGGTTAGAACAACTACAAAGAGACTCACAATGTTTAGGGAAAGGGATAAAACAACTACAAAGAGGCACAAAACATTCACAAGGAGACACAGAAAAACGACAAAAGAGACTCAAATTGACCACCAAGATACTCAAAATGAAACCACATACAGTAGATAAACAAAACGACTACCAGGAGACACACAACAACAAAGAACCCCAAACTGACTATAAAAAGGAAAAAAGCAACTACAGAGATAGAAAGCAACCACAAAGAGACACTAAACAACCACAAAGAGACACTAACCCTTACTTCAAAGACACTCAAAATGACTATAAAAATAAAATAAACGAAATACTAAAGATTGCATTAAGAGACACACAAGGACCATAAAGGGACACAGAACAACTGCAAGGAGACACAACATGACCACTGTATAGTGAGAAGTCAAACACGTGCGTTTGTTTTGAAACATAAACTAGGAATGTAGCTCTACTGTAGACACAATGACTTATTTATACATTAAAACTGAATGAAGGACCGCTGGTAAGCTGTAAATGTATACATTTAAATATAGATGTATAGGCAATGTATCTGGGTCTGAACTGCAGCCAATCGTCTAAACTATTTTTGTTATCCTGCGGCCATTCTGCTGTATCTTGTTTCTCCCCTTCTGGCATTTTTGGTTCCTGGTCTCAAGAGACTTTTAGTAAGCTCTGGAAGTTTGAAGTAATGTAACACTCAGATAAGGCCGGCAGCCAGCTCCACCAATCAGAAGTCACGCATTAACACCCGAGGCAATGCCAGCTCAGAGGGCCCGATCCAAGAGGGCCACCAGCCAGCACACACTGAAATGTACTGTATTGCTTAGCTTGGACTTTTTAGTACGCATAAAACTGCTTGTTGGAACATTTTTTAATTATTTTTTTCAGGTAGGGAGGTTAAAGCTACACCAGGTAACTCGCCTCCAAATGACGGCAACGATTAACTTGCTATCACTCTGCAATCATGAAAAGCTTCTTCAGTATACTAAACACATAATGTTTTCCAACGTTGGAAAGAGAGCTAGCCACTGAATATTAGGAGTTATCATTTCACTTTCTTTCCATTCCTTTCCAGTGATCTATCCTGATACAATAATTTAATAATTTAATTTGGATTCAATTTACATATCTACAGGTTTCTGCAATTGGCTAAAGCTGTCTTTACATGACCAGCAGAGCTGACGTTGCCGTTGTGATGGAGAGAGCCATGTTACCCGACTATGCGATACCCTCTGCACTAGGCACAATGTTCAAAATATTTCAACTTTGACGTAGATTTGCTGCTGACCTATCATTGCGCAACCAATCAGATAAAACGTATATAAATCGCCATCTAGCAGAAGAGTTACCATAGAAATGTATTATTAAATTACATGACTAGCTGTTTTCACTGTAAGGCTCAGCCACCACCTCCAAATGAGCAAAAACCAAATAAGAAACCACCAAATAAAAAATATGAAAGACCTTTTTGAACAATTAAGCACGTTAACAGGTCACAATAGTGGCACAAAATACAACTATGAACCTGAAAGTGAGCATAGTATGTCCTCTTTAATAGTATTAACTTATATTAATGTGTAAATGGTCTATGGACTGCATGCATTTCGTTCTTTTCCAGTCAAACAACCACTGAAAAAGCTTTACAACACACCATTCACCCATCCACACACACATGCATAGACTGATGGAACAGGCTGTGATGAAAGGTGGAAACCTGCTCATAGGGAGTGAGGAGAGGTTCAATGTTAGGTGCAAGGTTAACAAACCAGGAGCCTTATGATCACTTAGGACTGCTGTACTACCTGCGGCCTTTGATGCAACATTCTGTGCTTTTGCCTTTTTTTACACTTGTCCTCAAATAGTTTTACCCTTCACTAACATGCCCCCACACACTTCATCCCCAACACTGTTGCCCTCGAACAGGCCTTTTGTGCTGCATTTGATGTCTGTTTTGGCAGGGGAAAGACAAACAGCTGAGCGGTGCTGTCCACTCTGGCAGCCTCATACCAAAAGGGTGGCGTTGATGGTGGTGGGACTGAAAGAAAAAGGACTGTCACCCACTGGCCAGTAGCACAAAGTGTGTGTGTTTGAGTGCATTGCCTGACTTTTAAAGTAGACAGCAAATGCACTCAAGTGTGTGTGTGTGCGTGTGTGTTTATAATTACTTGTCTCTGGATTCTTTCAGAGGGCTGTCAGCTGTATCCGGGTCTTGTGTACACTCTGCATGACAGCAACTGTCAGGAGAAGACTGGTGATTTACCTGAGCCAACACTACAGTGTGTGTGTGTGTGTGTGTGTGTGTGTGTGTGTGTGTGTGTGTGTGTGTGTGGTGTGTGTGTGTGTGTGTGTGTGTGTGTGTGTGTGTGTGTGTGTGTGTGTGTGTGTGTGCGTGGTGTGTGTGTGTTTGTTTGGTTTGCTGTGGTCTAAAGACAAAATATCTGCGGTTGTGCATTGTTTATTTTATTACGTATATTTGACAGTGAGCATAAGTGTGTAATTGTTTTATGTATATTATCCAGCACACATTTTAAAATACATTGCTGTTTGAGTAGGCCCAGACCCGGCGGAGAAGAACCTTAATCCATGGGTTGGCATTGATTTTCACATTTAAGAAATGAAAACCCAATTTTGAGGCTGCACATGTTGAGCCGGTTTTTGCCTATTAGAGCGACATAGTAACAACATAAGCATTCAGGCTACCCGGACCACTGTAGTGGGTCAAGGAGGATTCAGCCCAGGGATTTGTTTTGATAAACAAGCTCTATTTTGGTGGATTTATATGTATTCTGGCTACTTAGTTACATGCAAAGAACAGAGGCCTGTACTACGAAGTCGGATGTTCCTAACCTGGATATGTTTGAGTTAGCCGGTTGGCCCAATCCAAAACATCTCATTCACACACATTACGTTGTTTTTGTTCATCTCAGCTTACATTTAACATTTGTTTGGGCCTAAACTTTCTTTTGATATACATTCATGGCCTACACATTGACAATAATAATTTCTCCTTGGGGGGCCAAGATCATGTTTGTACACACAGATTAGTTTTGTATTTTCAACTTCAAAACAAATGTTTTTTTGCATTACAAATTATACAGATACTTCCAAATTGTCGATCTGTTCACACAAATAATATAAAGAGAAATCTGCCTCCAGACTCATCTCAGTGTCAGTCCACACAGACTTGTATATCAACAGTCTAAAAACAAATGCACGCTCAGAGGCGTTTTCAATAGGTTTCATGTCAAACTTCTTTTATTAGTAAGAGGAGAGAGGAAGAAGGATAGGCAGCCTCTTGTTCTTTTATTGCAGCTTGGATATCTAATTTGTTGAGGCTTGAAAGCGCATATTGATTCCTGTAATGCCAAAATGTGTGTGTACAGGCGTTCTTATTACACATTATCGGATGCACGCACTCAGAGAAATCGGATTCATTACATTTTTTTGTGCTGATAGGGTCAGAATTTGAGGTGGGTGCAGTCGATGAGGTCGTGATTTAGTTTGGGGGGTGCGAGTGCTTCTTAATGCCTTCCACAAATGATCCTCCTGGTGCAATATGGGGCTGATCATTGCATTAAAGTTCTGAGAGCTGCACAGCAGAAACACAACAAGGGGGTAATATCTCATTCCTCT